ATCTGCCTTAATCGAAGTTGAAGTCCAGTGTCGATGGTGGGTATTTTTCATAATTCCAGGAGACCAGACAGATACAAAAACACACGCGCGCGCACACACACATACACACTGACTCTGCTCTCCACCACCTTCTGCAGGAAAAGAGGGGGGGGGGAGATATCTTCCTGAGCCCCCACCCACCCAAACAGACTGCCCTGCAGAAGGAAAGATCTCCCTTGAAATACACAAACCATTCCTTGCACACTCAAATCAGAGAATTTCTCTCACAATTCCCGATTAAAAGGGGTGTGTGTAAATTTCTCTCCCTCACACTAAAAGGGGTGTGTGTAAATTTCTCTCCCTCACATCTTCTACCTGCCCTAGACCCGCTGTTATTTGAATGGGTGTGAGAGAGAATGTGGGGGTTTTGTGTGTGTGTGTGTTTATGTGTGTGTATGTGTGTGTGTGTGCAAGGGAGAAAAGGATGGGACTGTTTTGTTTTGTGATCACGGTTTTCTAGTTTGCGCAAGGAAAGCTATGAAACAGAATGCATGTGCTAGGTGGAGGCAGCAAAACACAAGTGTGCAGACAAACAAACAACCCAGGCACCATCATGTGGGCTCCTGGCTGTTATTCACACACTCAACTCCCTTACACAATATTTCACACCCCTCAGTCTGAGCACACTCCAAGCTCAGGGCCATTTATAAAGCTTTATAACAGGTGCTTTTACTCTATTGCAACACGTTGTCACGTTACATTCTCCGTCTGTTTGCCCACAACTCATTTACACATAGAGTTGCCCCTCACACACACACACACACACACACACTCTATTCAGTATTTCCACCAATGTAATCTCTTCCAAGGAAGCTTCTTCACAAGATGGGTTTTGTACTGGCCCAAGGGCACACTTTTCCTTCCACAATATTAGGCAGGCAAGATCTCTAAGAAACACCTTAAAAACACCTTTCTGCTCACAGATGCCCCCCCCAGGCACTCCTTACACTCTTGCTCGGCTCTTGCACACCCTGCTCCAACGCTCAAATTCACAGTTCCTATTCACCTTTCCATCTTCTCAGGAAGGTATTTTTCTGACATATGTCTCTTTAGTACACCCCAGCATATTGTGGGTCTCTCTCTCTCACACACACATGCGCACACGCTTCCTTTTGCACAATATTCTCTGTCACATACACACCTCCTAAAAAACACCTCCTTGCTCATGCCATCTTTACACAACCTGGCTTTTTTCCCCCTTGTCTTGTCTTGATACACACACATACACACTTTTCTCGCCTTCTTTCGTAGGCACCCAGGCCCTTCACACTAACAATTCTGCACACTCATTTCCCAGCTTCTCCAACTTGGTGCCCCTCCAAATACGTTGGCTGACAAGGCCTATGTTTTTCCTGCAGAGGATGGTTCCTGCCATTCAGCCACCCTATCCGGAAGCCTTCTTCCTTGCATCTCCTGTGAATTAGGATTGAGAAGGGCTGAAGTTAACCAGACTTTGGACTATGCTTTTCTTTTCTCTTTGCTTCCTAGACTCTTTTTCCGCCAAAAGGCTCTCCTGTCAAGGTTGGTTTTGCCTTTGTTCCTCTATGCGTGAACACACACACACACACAAACACACCATCTCCGCCTTCACCCTCTCCAAAGGATTTATCCTCTCCTATACCCTTATATTATCCTTCGGCACTTTGATCTCGAAAGAGCCTGCAAATATATTTCCTCTTCTCTCTTCGATTCTCACCAACTGAAGCAAACCCACATATACGGTATATATATATTTAAAAAGAGAGAGAAGGGTGTAGATGTGTACACTTATGGGGACACAATCACGCACACACACACATGCATACATAGGAAGGCACACTCAGTGTAAGAGAAAAATACCTTGGGTGCAGTTGGCAGTTTCTCCAGCACCCTCTGGAGTGAGAAAACGGTCGATATTTAATTGTTATTGCAAGCGGGGAGTGCAGGAAGAGAGAGAGAGAGAGAGAGAGAGACAACCTCCTGTGGACCATTTGTATGTGCATGTTGCGGTTTGTTGGAGCAAAGGTGGGACTCGTGTGCCACAGCTTGTACACCCACACAGGTCCTGGCTTCCTGAAATTCCAGACTTCTGGTCTGCACAGAACAATAGTGAGATTTACTCTCCTGTAAAGGGGTGCACTTTTGCTGTGCAAATTAATACAAGTTCTATCTTACTAGCAGATTCAACACTGGCGCCTTCATGGTTATAATGCTCAGATATAATAGTAATAATAATAATAATAATAATAATAATAATAACAACAACAACAACAACAACAGCAACAACGATGATGATGATGATAATGATAATGATAATAATGATAAAGTTGGAAGGGACCTTGGAGGTCATCTAGTCCAATCTCCTGCTCAGGCAGGAAACCCTATACCATTTCAGACAAATGGCTGCGTGGCAGTGCCTGGAGACAGCAGAATAGACGAGAAAGAACTGGAGAAGATCACAAAATACAAAGACCTACAAATAGAAATATTTGTGGCAAAAGCAAGGAAGGGTAGTACCAATAGCAATAGGCGCCTTGGGTGCAATCCCAAAACAACTGGAGCACCACTTGAACACCATTGGCATTGACAAATTCGCCACTAGTCAATTGCAAAAGGCGGCCTTACTAGGGACTGCTTCCATCCTGCGACGATATCTGTAATACCATCAAACATCCACATCTGCCTATCCCAGGTCCTTGGGAAGGACTCGATAGGTAGACAAAAATGCCAAATCCAGTCTGAACATCTGGCTGACTGTGCGATGATCAATGATGATGATGATGATGATGATGATGATGATGATGATGATGATAATAATAATAATAATAATAATAATAATAATAATAATAAAGTTGGAAGGGACCTTGGAGGTCATCTAGTCCAACCTCTTGCTCAGGCAGGAAACCCTATACCATTTCAGACAAATGGCTGTCCAGTCTCTTCTTAAAAACTTCCAGTGTTGGAGCATTCACAATTTCTGGAGGCAGGTAGTTCCACTGATGAAATGTTCTAACTGTCAGGAAATTTCTCCTTTGTTCTAGGTTGCTGCTCTCTTTTGGTTACTTTCCATCCGTTGCTTCTTGCCCTGCCTTCAGGTGCTTTGGAGAATAGCTCGACTCCCTCATCATCATCATCATCATCATCATCATCATCATCATCATCATCATCATCATCATCATCATCATCATTTTAGCCACTGTCTATCCACTGCAGGATGATGGCCTCTTCCGCATGTTTCCAACCCATACAGACCTGGGCTCTCTTTTGACAATTGGGCCCGCCATATTTGCTGATGTCGTGGTGGCTACCATCTTGTTTTAGCTCTTTTTCATGGAGGCTTTTGATCAAGGGAGATGCTCAGATAATGCTCTGGCCTCTATCAGAACCCAAACAGAGGCGCTGGCTGCGCCCACCAAGTGTTGCTTCAAAAACTCAGGGTGTCATCCACCATCTTCTGCATTCTTGTTTTGGTTCTGTCTCCCACTTCCCAAACAAACAAACAAACAAACAAACAAACAAACCAGCCTAATATTGGACAATCCAGTTTAAAATGGTGTGTGTGTGTATGTCTGCTAGTCCTTTTTTTTTTTTTGAAAGCAAGACAGAAAAATTGAGCGATTTCCATTTCAAAGAGAGTTCTCTTTGGCGGCAATGCTAGTGTAGGCCTGGTCCTGTTTGGAGGCCCCGACTAATTTTAGAGCAGCGGGAAGCCAGGCACTCTGTACGTGCTCAGAAACAACCCTTTCCTTCAGGAAAAGGCGAAATCCAAGATCAAAGCCTGGAGGCTGATGGGATTTGGGTGAAGTCCTGCCTTTTGCTTCTCTACCCCACAACCTTATGTTCAAAGAGTGTGGGTGGACTCTCCACTCCCATGTGTAGTAAATGTGGGAGCCCCCACCTTTGTCCTGTTCCCAAAACTGGGAGAAGGTGAGGGGGGGGGCTGAGGAATTTGGAGAGTTACATCTAAGATTTCAAACTCACCAAAGGGGATAAAAGTCACAGGTGCCTCAAGCCATCCATCAACATTTGAGAGAAAGGGAAGGGAGGGAGGGAGAGGGGGGGTGTCAGAATTGGAAAAAAAAGGGAGGGAGGGAGATTGACCACACACACACACACACACACACACACACCCTCACTGACACACACACACTGGAGCCTGCACACGCACACACACAAATCCCATTTTCTTCAAACAGGTTGGTGGCTCTCTCTTTCTCTCTCTCTCTCTCTCTCTCTGTGTCTAAATGAAATCAGTCATTTTCATCAAGTGCCCAGCCAAATATTATCCACAGTCCATTCAGGAGGATCGAATCTTATTTAGAGTCGCGATTCGACATCTGTTTTCAAATTTGATCAGCTATGAACTTTATTTTCCGAGTTTGAGGAAAATTATATTCCATCGATCCGAAGCACTGGCGTAGCCTACATATATCCGCCTCGCCCCCCCCCACCCCACCCCGCCCGCCTCGCCTCTCTCTCTCTCTCCCTCCCCACTATCGATGGGAAAGGCGCGCTCGCCAGAGCCACTCCGCCAACGAGACACTTGGCAGCTCTCTCGGCCGCCCGGCTCGCCAGGCTCTGCCGCTCTCCGCGTGTGCCTCCTCTCCTTCCTTCCTTCCTTCCTTCCTTCCTTCCTTCCTTCCTTCCTTCCTTCCTTCCTTCCCGACACCCCCTCCTCTCTTCCTGATCCCTTCTGGGGCTTTTCCCCTTGGCAGGCGCGCCCGCTGCTCCTCGCCTTTCCCTCCTCGCCCTCCGCCTGCGCCCCTGCGCCGCTGCTCTATCCCGAGTTCTCCGCCCCGCTCCTTCGCCTGCCCGGTTCCCTCGCCTGGCGGCCGGTCTTTTGGGCTTCCCTGAGGCAACGCAGCTTCCTTCCCTTCCCTGACCTTTCCTTCCTTCCTTCCTTCCTTCCTTCCTTCCCTGACCCTTCCTTCCTTCTTTCCTTCTTTCTTTCTTTCCTTCCTTCCTTCCCTGTCCTTTCCTTCTTTCCTTCCTTCTTTCCTTCCTTCCTTCTTTCCTTCCCTGTCCTTTCCTTCTTTCTTTCCTTCCTTCCTTCTTTCCTTCTTTCCTTCCCTATCCTTTCCTTCCTTCTTTCCTTCTTTCCTTCCTTCCTTCTTTCCTTCCTTCCCTGTCCTTTCTTTCCTTCTTTCCTTCTTTCCTTCCTTCCTTCCTTTCTTCCTTCCTTCTTTCCTTCCTTCCTTCCCTGTCCTTTCCTTCTTTCCCTCCCCCTTCCTTCTTTCCTTCTTTCCTTCCTTCTTTCCTTCCTTCCTTTCTTTCTTTCCTTCCTTCCTTCCTTCTTTCCTTCCTTCCTTCCCTGTCCTTTCCTTCCTTCCCTGACCCTTCCTTCTTTCCTTCCTTCCTTTCTTTCTTTCCTTCCTTCCCTGTCCTTTCCTTCCTTCTTTCCTTCTTTCCTTCCTTCCTTCCCTGTCCTTTCCTTCCTTCTTTCCTTCCTTTCTTCTTTCCTTCCCTGACCTTTCCTTCCTTCCTTCCTTCCTTCCTTCCTTCCCTCCTTCCTTCCCTCCTTCCCTGACCCTTCCTTCCTTCCTTCCTTCTCCACATTGCCCCCACCTCAATCTCTGAAGACGCCCCCCTCCCCATCGCCCTCCCCCGCCCGGACCTCCTCCAAAACCTCCAGCCTCCACGCAGCCTGGATGGTGAGAGGCGCGAACGGTGAGTAGCCAACAGACTTGGGAAAGTTTCTCCAAGTGGGCTGCCCGCAGGGTTGGAGAGCGGGGCGGGGGGGGGGAGGTGAAAAGTTGAGCCACTGGGTTTAATGGGGGCGGCTTCTCTCCTTTCGAGGCGGGGAGGGGGAGCGGTGCTGTGAAGTTTCCATAATGTGGCAAGCTTGGGGGGGGGGCGGAATGTCTGTGTATTGGGGGGGGGTTTCCCTCTCTCTCTCTCTCTCTCCCCCACCTTCCAGTTTCTTTTACTCTTTCCAGCACTTTACTTGCCTCTTCTCCTCTGCCCCTCCCTGCCCCCCCCCTCTCTCTTCCCCATGCCTTTCCCCCCTCCCTCTCTTCCTCCTCCGTCCTCTTCTCTCTCTCTCTTTCCTTCTTTCCTTCCTTCCTTCCTTTCTCTCCCTCTCCCATCCTTTTCTCTGCTGGCTGGCTGGCTGGCTGGCTGGCGGGCTGGCTCCCTTCTTCCCCTGTCCTTTCCCATTCCCTGCTCGCTCACTCACCCTCCCCCTCCCCCCCCTCCCCAGCTAACTGGAAGCCGGTTTCCGTTTAGATTAAGGCAGGGAACCTAATTCCAGGGCAGGGGATCGAAATTTCTGGCAACAAAGGGAAATAGCGTATTGATCAGAGGCTCCGGAGATTAAGAGACAAGTGTGTGTATCCATCAGCGCTAAACTGCCTGCCTGCCTGCGCCTGCGAGGCGGACGGGCTGCGGACGCGCCTGGCATGGCAAACGCGGCGGCGCCCCTCCTGGAGGGCAGAAGCGGGGGCTGCGGGGCCGCTGGGCCATCACGGGGGGCCCGAAGGGCGCAGGGGGGCCAGATCGGGCGACCCCTGGCTAAGGGGGGGGGGGCAGCTGATCCGAGGGAGCTGGGTTCGAGTCTCGCCTCCGCCTCCGCTGGCAGGAAATCTGGGGGAAGGGTGTTTTGTTTTTTTTTTGCGCGGACAATGCCCTCAGAGACCCCCCCCTCGACCTCCCCAGTTTATGGGACGGTCCTACCCTCTCAAGGTCCTCCTCAAGCCTAAACCAGGGGGGGGGGGTCCGGGTTCAGATTCCGCAACCGGATTAGTGTTTTTTTTCCCCTTCCCCTCAAATGCAGTTCAGTGGCGAAGGGGACGCGCGTTGGTTACAAGGGTTGTGGGAACCGCGAATCTTCCCCCAGCCGGTTCTCCCTAGAGAGAGATGTTGGAGGATCCCAAGTTCCAGAATCCGCGGCCGGTGGGGCCACCCTGCCCCACGCATCTGGAGAGCGCAGGTTTGGGAAGGGAGGCTTTGAACACAGTCTCCTGGGGCAGCCCCAAGCCCACCTCGCCGAGGAAAGTCCCACGGAGACTGAGTCCCACGGAAGTGTACCTGGCGTTACAGTCCCAGCGGCCTTGAGTAGAATTATTCGGGAATATTGCAAAGTGGGACTTTGCATCTAGGGCTTGGGTTGTTCTCCCTCCCCCCCCCCCCGGCCAGGTTCTTTTTTCCCACTGACAAAATATTGGGTGTAATATATGCGGGGAGGGGGCTTAAAGAAGAGAGAATTATTGGGGGGGGAGAACGGGATTCTTAGAAGGGGAGGGGGCAAAGACAAAAAGACGCCGGCCTGTTTATATTGCATTTATATCCTGCTTTTCTTGGGGAGGGGGTCTGGCATCCGTGAGGGTCCAGTCCAACTTTCTTTTCCCCCCCTAAACATCCCCCCCCCCTTTTGAAGCTAGGAGAGTTGCGACCGGCTTCTGAGAAAAGTCAGATTTAACTCGCGTGGAAAGAACTCCGGTTGAGGAGAGTAACGTTAGGCTGGCTCCGTCTTTCCCTCCCGAAGCCACACCGGGGGTGTGGGGCGGTTGCATGCTGTCGGATGGGCTGGGCCGGGTGGGGGGATGATAGATGTAAGGGCGGGAGGGAGGTTGGGAACGACCCGGACAGCAAGAATCGTGGCGCGTGAAAAGCCTTGGCAGGCAAGAGGCGAGAAAGCGAGGCAGGGAATCCACTGGAACGCGCCAAGATCCGGTTCCTTATCCTCCAGCGTCAAGCCCCGCCACAAATATATTAGAAGCCCGTCCCCCACCCTTAAATCTTCTCGGTTTTGCCTTCAACCGTAGTGAAGGTGCTGGGCTACAAAAGAGGAGGTTGTGAGTTCTAATCTAGCCTCAAGCACGAAAACCGGCTGGGTGACTTTGGGCCAATCACCAGGAGACCGTGAGTTCTAGTGCCGCCATAGGCATGGAAAGCCGGCTGGGTGCCTCTGGGGCCAGTCCCTTTCTCTCAGTCCAACCCACCTCACCGGGTTGTTTTTCTGGGGCAAATAGGAAGATGTAAAGAGTGTTAGGTATGTCCACCGCCTCGAGTTACTTATAAGGCAATAAAGGCGGGATACAAATAGAAAAATAAAATAAAATAAAATAACAAACGCTTTGAATGGGAAAGGGAAGGGGAGACAAGAGGTGCCCATACAGGCAGATGCGTATATTTCCTGTTTTCTAAGGTAAACGTGATCACCCCTTGTTCCTTGCTCCTTCCATGCACACGTACAGTGTCAGCAAGCTTTGCGCGTGCGGGGGAAATCGCCCTGAACTTTGCTAAAGTTTTCCCATCTGAAGGTGACGGGGTAGGGAAAAGCTGGTGGAAAAAAACAACAACCAGAATCTCCCCAACACAACACCCCCAGTGCTTATGGGCTTAAAACAGTCTCTTCTCCCCACTTTGTCCCGGCCATTTGGAGAGGAGATGCTGGCGGTGGAGGGCTCTTTCGGGACCACACAACGGGGAGCGCGCCTCAGTTTCCCAAACCAAGCCAAGAGGGAGAAGATCGCCCCTTCCCCTCTCAATAAATCCCCGGCCTTCCTTCTTCCAACGTACCCGGTTAGGTAGGATAATCTTCCTTCTAAAGTTAATTCGCCAGCCTTTCACTCTGGGAACGAAAGGGCGGCTAAACGGGAAGCGTATTTCCAGTGGCAGGGAGTTACAGCGGCTTTAACCAATCGCACCAACTCTTTGAAAGGCAGGGAAAGGGCGCGGGGTAAGGAAGGACGGGGCCCAGCCAAAGGCTGGCTGCGAGAAAGAGAAAAAAGGGTTTGAAATATCTCTGAAATGGAAGGGCAAACCTTTTAGGGGATGTGTGTGTGTGTGTGTGTGTTGAATTTAACCCGAAGGACAGCATCGCCGTCGTCGTAAGGATGTCTACCGCTGCGCCAGATCCTGAGACAGCGCAACAGGAGGGCGGGCGGGATGGTAAGTACAGGCTTCAAGAGAAGCTTCACCCAACGCGCAACCCTTAAACCCGCGCTTTCTTTCCCCGCGTTTTTCCCGGTCGTGCGAATCCGCGCGCGATGGCAGTTGCTAGAATTCGGTTTAGCGCGCGCCTCCCCACCGATGCCCGGGCTATTCTCGCGTCCCTAACAAACCAGGGTTTAAGAGAAGCGGATCGCGTCGCGCGAGCGCACAGCCTGGCTTTTGCAAAGCGAGCAAAAAGCCCTGCTTCTCCTGCGCTTTTTTTTTGGGGGGGGGCCTCGGGGAAGGGGGTCAAAAAGGAAGGAGACCTTCAGAGTCGACCCCACGGGAGGACAAGGGGACTATCCCGACGTTCCCTGTCTCCCTGGCGGGCTCTCTCTTTTATTAGCCTCTTCAGCTAGGAAAAAAGAAGGACAAGGGGGTCTCTCCGGACCCCGAAGTGACAAGAAGCTAGCTCGCCTTTGCTCGCGCAGTTTTTCCAGCAGAGCGCAAATCTCCGGTTCTCCAAACTCGGGTTAAGCTCGCCGCGCACCTCTTTTCCTCTGTCCCTCCAGAGGCGCACACAACACCCACACGAGGGGGTACACACACACACACATAGACACCCACACACACCCACACGACCCGGCTTAAGCCTTAGCCAAGCGTCCCCTGGGACCGCTCTCATCCCTGGCTGAAGCGAGGCTGGTCTGAAGTTTTGGCCACGCCGAGGGGACCCTGGATGCCGGGGCCTTTGGCTGCCGAGCTTCGTGGTTTCTGTTCACACGCGCGGGGCTGGCGGCAAAGCCAGAAGCGGGGAGGTTTCTCCCCCCCC